AATGTACACATATGTGAACGACACATTAGGGTGGTGCATTATCTTTAGGAAATATTTAGGCTTAAGGCCTAAACAGATGGCTGAGCAGATGGCTAAAATACGTTTTAATTCCATTTGTGTTGTTTTCTGCATACTGCTAAAACGATAGTGCATCGGGTCAAACAACGTTTTAAGATTTTGTTATTTGCCACACTTTTCTTTTAATGACCGCTCCAACTCTATTCCATATATATACATCCAATTTGTTTAATAATGTCATTCAAGCTTGTCAAAATATATTTATTTTTAAATTGAGCGCAGCTTCCATCAGAAAATATTAAAATCTTTGAAATGCCCATACATTTTTTTAATTTCGATTAAAAGCTTTAAATCAAAAATAAATACGTCAAGTTTATTATGCGTAAGTTTATCGCTTATAACTGCAAACGATTGAAAAGCACCAGTCAACCAAGCTAAGCAAGTAAAAATTGTTACCTAGCGGTCGCTGAAATTACCAGTTTGTATTTCGTTTTGGTGCGTGAACCTACAATTCTCGGCAAAATCAATTTGAAGAACGAGCTCGGAAGGCTTTTTTAAGTTAATTTTTGTTTCCTGAAAATATTTTTGCTGATCTTTTTTTACAAAAAAAAAATAGTTTAGTAACTTAGTTTCCGTTTCATGGGCTAACTCAGATTAAGTTGAAATTGTATTTGACAGAGCTATGTGGTTATCTATTTTACGCCATTGTTGCCAGATTACTTCATCTTCCATATTTGGCAGATATGCAAGAGCAATAGATTGATCTTTTAACCCTGTTAGGCACTTCTTACAGTTACTTGTCATGCAATACTCATTCTGAATATCACAGCAAACTGCCTTAAGAATTGTTTCAAAATTTCTGGGAAAAGATGGAATAGTTTTCGAGCAACTTTCCAAAAGAAAGCCGAAATTTGTATGATACATGCAAACACACATATTGTGCGGCATTTTATTCCTAACTGGACATGGCGAGGTCGCATTTTCAAAAAGTTGTTTTGCCTACCTCTTCGCTGGGAAAATCTTTTTTAAATAACTCATGATTCAGAC